CTCATTCCAAAATAAATGTCAGATGAATCAAAATGAAATGCTGAAAAAATACATTTTAGAAGCACTAGGAGAAAATAGGAGTTTTAAAAACAACCTTGGAGTGGGAAAATGACTCCTGAGTATGACAGGAAACCCAGAAACCACACACACACAAATGCTCTAACAACCACCAAAAAACACACATGCTATAAATCACAAAGAAATAATTTCATGGGACCAGCAGTTGGCGTTATGGTTATGTCGCTGTACTCCCATGTAGTGGACTGGGGTTTGAGTCCTGGACCCAGTGGCTTAATCTCACACACCAGGCCCATGTGCGTGCATGCCCAAGATCCCGAGAGGAGAATGGAGGAGAAGGGATTGTGGCGTGGCCATCCACCCTGGGGGGTGATTTCTCGCTTTCTGTCTCTCTGTCTCTCTGTCTCTTTCTGGCGAGTGCACATGTCCTATAGCAAAAACCTCTCCAAAAAAAGAAAAAAAAAAGACAACTTAATTTTTAAAGCATATGACAAATAGTTCATTATGAAGAAAATTAAGATGACTCTTAAACATGAAAAGATGGTGCACTCATAAGAGAAAGGCAAATTGAAGAACCCCTTTTCACTTATCAGATGGGTAAAATTTCACCTATGGAGGGTAAGCTGGCAATATCAACCCACATTTTTAATGTATATTATTTTGACCCAGCAATTTCTCCTTTTGAAATTTTCCTGTAGATATCTTCCCAAAAGTATGGAATGATATATGCCTAAAATTTGTTTTGCATCAGGCCAGTTGGTGGTATGGTGGTGAAGGAGACTGGATCCCACATGGCTGACTGCACCATCTGAGGCCCAGACCTAGCAGCTCGAGAAATGTACCGGGCATGTGTGTGTACGTGCCCAAAATCCCAGGGGAGAGTGGAGGAGAAGGGATTACGGCGTGGCCATCCCCTGGGGGAAGCGGGTTCCTCACTTTCTCTCACTCTGTCTCTCTCTGGCAAGCACACATGCCCTATAACAAAATCTTTTAAAACACACACACACACACGCAAGGACCAGCAGATGGTGTAATGATTATGTCGTTCGTTGAACGCCCACGTAGTCTCTCACAGTTTGAAACCTGGACCTGGTGACTTAAACTCACTTCAGGCAAGTGTGTGTGCATGCCCAAAATCTCAAGAAGAGAATAGAGAAGAAGTGATTGTGGCATGGCCATCCCCCCAGGGTGTGATTTCTTGCTTTCTGTCTCTCTGTCTCTTTGGCATGTACACATACCCTATAACAAAAATCTTTCTTAAAAATAATCACACACAGGACCAGCAGGTGGCATAGTGGTTAAGGGCACTGGACACTCCTACATGGCTGACCACGGTTTCAGTCCTGGACCTGGTGGCTTGCTTTCTCACTTTCCCTCTTTCTCTCTCTCTGTGTGTCTCTCTCTGGTCAAATTAAAATAAAATGAATGAATGAATAAAAGTAAATAAATAATTCTTTAAAAAAAATAATAAACACACACACAGACTTGAATAAGATATCTTCCCAGATGGGTCTGGTTTGCAGAGCATTGCGGGTTTTTTTTTTTTTTTTCATTTTTTTCAAGTTTGTATAGGGCACATGTGCTTGCCAGAGAGAGACAGAGATGGGAAGGGGAAGTTAGAAATCATTCTCTAGGGGGATGGCCATGCCACGATCCCTTCTCCTCCACTGTCCTCTC